ATGTTAGTAAACTGTTGTGATCGAAGGAAACCAATCGGCTTTGAGTATCACCACAATACTCCTCTTGTAGATAGCACTGAGGGGTCAAAAGATTAGTTTGCATTGAGCTGGGGCAGTTGATTAAGAAGAATTTTGAGATGGGTGTTCTTTGGCTTGTTCTATGGGGCAGAATCTCGAATGGACTACCTTAGTGCAGAACGAGAATGGACATTAAAAGGGAAAGCAAGAAAATAGACTTGGTTCACTCGCGAAGAAGAAGAAGTGAAGCATGCTTCCGCAGGATGAGTTGTAAGTGTTGAAGAAGTTGCTTTAAAGATGGCACTTAAATGCTAAACTAAAAGACTGAATGTGGGAGTAGGAGGTTATGCAGAAACTATCTTTTCTATTATTTAGAAAAGTCCCCTCTTCACAGTTATCATCAGGACAATTACAAACTTTCTTTTCGGCGCCTCATGACTCTCGCAAACCTACACTTCAGTTGGCAAAAAAGTCATTATTTGTGCAGCGTTTATGTAATGGAATGATTCATTGTTGTACACATGCTATTTGGTTTTGCAAATGCAAGCACGCATAAAATGTTTTTTATACAGGGTGGAGATAGTTGAACCTCACCGATTACCCTGAAGCTATGGGAAATCGTCTGATGAAGACCGGGTGCTATAAACACGCACCTCGACAGTCCCCGGAAAATGCCATTACGGTTAGTACCCGTTCGAGTAAGAACCGGTGTCAAACCGGGCTCATCGTTCATCCATGGCACCGTCCAGACGCACTTGGGCAACCTGTCCGAACGTTTGTATCGTGTCAGGGGGGGAGGGCTAAAGATCAGCCGTGTTGCATTATAACCTACAAGGTTGGGTATTTGCAAAGGGGTTAGTTGGCTTCCTCTTGCTACTTTTGCTGCTCGCGAAACTGAAGCGAAGTTTATCTATTTCTGTGGCTGCAAAAATGCTTGTACATTAGCTCCCCACTTTAATATGTCTAATGCACTGTGGAAAGGCAACAGCATTTTGAAATAAGCAAGTTGATTCACTGATCTTTCGCTTGTGTAAGCTATTTCACTACCTGTGCTGCCTTCCACTTTGACTTTTGCTATGCTAAAAATTAAATAAAGTACATTCACCGATCTACTTAGTTATTCAATCTTTTCAGCTGCCTACCATCTCCTAATTGTTTATTGACTCTTTAAATTTAGGCTACATTTGAAGTAAGGCCATGGTCTAACAACAATAGTTTCTGCCTTTAGGAACCAAAAGGAAAATAACATTACTCAAATACAGCTGCCTTATGCAATCATTGATGAAAAGTTCCCTTCTCTGCTCTACTGCAAGAATGGGTAAACTGAGCGATGGTCTCGAAACTCTCGTTTTTACCCACTTCCCATTTGAAAATGTCCGTTTAACACTTAAACATGAGCCCAAGAATTGTGCAAGTCTCCTGCACATCAGGCCGTGACCGCCATGCGAACTTACGCAGGACGTAGAAGGTGATGTTGAGAGGAGGCACGTTGGAGCGCGGAGAGCTGCAGCTCAAATGGTGAGCTCCTTCTTCAAATGTATCGACAACCACATACTTTCGGTGTACCCTTTTCAGAGGATCGTACCATCCCCACACAAAGTTGGGATAGTTTCGCGCTTCTTCTGGGTGAACATAGCAGTGAATTTGATCCCTCTTTTGATAAATATCATAAACTGTTTTTGCATTTGTTGAAAAAGTTAGCTTTGAAAAGTCTAAAGTTAAGAAAATGCATGATTAACTTAATAAATGCAACACAACTTGGAGAACGTTGTTATCCAGTCCTAAAAAATTGCCTCAACAGAATGCCGTTCAAAAGAGCATCGGCGTGGTTCGTGGCTTACTTGTTCAGCCTTAAGATAGGATTTGAAAAATTTAAGGAGTTAGCGTTAAGATTATTACAGCGTTTGACACTAATTGACAGCGTCTTGTGTCAGAGGGATGCTTTGCTAATAGTCATTTGATAATTTTTCGCCTACCCACCACTGTTTTGCAAGTAGGTTAGTAAATTTTACACTTCATCTTTTGTATCGGAAAAAGTTAATTTTCCTTTGCAACTGTTTGCAAATAAGAATATTTGTAGTATTTACCAACATATTTCAAGTGTAAGTCCTTTTTCAGATTGCCCATATTGAATTTGCAGGTGTAATTGCCTTGTATCTCCTCCTGATTGTTAATGTACAGTTGGTTATAGAGAGAGTTCGGCACAACCTCATTTGTATACGTGTCGACCCACTGAAAATGCCTCGTAAGGACTTGAGTCATTTCCTCCGACTTCAATACACAGGTTATTGTGCCAGTCCATCGAATGGGAAAAATGCGCGAGACGTGTGGGATTTGAAGCTCAAACTCATTAGGGTCTGCAGGAGTGAGTAATTTTGTTGTCATTAATGCCATTTAGTCTACTAACAAAAGATCATTTGGCACCGAGAGCCGAGAAGGCAGATTGTTGGCATAGGACAATAGTTTAATGCCCAACTTCGCCAATGAAAAATAAATCTACTAGCCGAATAGACAGGAATCACTAATTTAAACAAAGTCAATCCCCTTTATCATGATTGAATAGTGCATTGGAAAGGGACAAGTACCTACGAACCACACGGTGGTGGATTTGACCATGACGTCCATTTCGAACAGGGAAGCGACTATGTCGAAGGTGATAGGACCGGGATGTTGATCAGGAGTGAGTCGTATAGCGCCATCTGTGACATTTAGCGCACTCTCATTGGAGACTCTTAGCCGGCACGTGGGTATGTGAGGATCCAAGTCCATGAGACTTCCATTGATGTTGATGGAACAACGAAGGATATTTGTGCTGCCCAAAACATACACTCCATCTTCATCCCTGGGTACTAATGTTATGTTGATGCGATAGGAGTCTGGAGGGAAGATTAGAGTCATTTACGTGTCAAAGGATGAAATCTTGAAATTACGTAGTAAACTTCTTGGATGGGGCGAACAAGTTAACACAGAAATAAGGGCTTTCCCGCTGATTTATCAAAAACCTCGTAGCCCGATAACATTTTTGCTTTGCTAAAAATTCCTTAATATGCCATTTGAAACTGAAACAGTAAAAAGTAACAAAACTTCCAATTTGACAAGTCAACTCTCCTCACGCTTTTGGTGTGATTTGATGCTATTATTTTTGCTCCCACTTATGATTTGCTTCAAGTGCCTCGTTCTGTGAAATGGAACTCAAGTTTGTGCAGCTACCAGTGATAGTCTGTCCCGTTTGGCCTTTCATATACAAGCAGCTTAACAAACACACATGAGTCCAATGGTGGAGGACTCTCTGATGTGAAGACCACAGTCAGGTGGATGAGGCAATGAGCCCTAGAAATATAAGGCTGCGGCATCTTTGACGCAGCCTCTCCCACTTGTTTTGTAAGATCTTTTTAATGCATTAAAGGTATGCCGTAGGTGCCGTTATGAGTAAAGTTGTTGTAGAGATAGTGCGACCATCGAAGGTTATAAGTTCATATCATCTATTTTCGTTTATGCAAATATTTTGCCCACTTCAGTCATCATTAATGAGGATGGCACAAAACAGTGGCATTGGCAGCAGTCATGAGCAGGAATGCGTGCATGAAGCATGGCAGTGTGCTAGTGAGAGACCGTGAGTGTTCTATTGTACCTGAAAGTCTTCATACTCAGCAAGACAAAGTGATAAGATTGTCATCCTTTCAAGTCCACTGAGGCTGTTGATAACCTGCCGTAGAGTAAAATGTAACACCATGTCGGTTGGATATGGAGTTACACAAGTAGATAGTGGCTCTGTTAAGCAGGT